TAAATAAATATATATATCCTGAAATCAAATAGTGTCATAAAATATGTTCAAAAATGCAATACCAAGTAGAAATTTCAAATTTAATGATTCCAAGAAAAAGATTTCAAAAAATTTTTATGACATAATTTAAATTAAGAAAGGTATTTTACCTTTCTGAAAGCATTGAAAAGTTTGATCATGATTGCCCATTCTGGTACTTTTCCCTGATTTTCCTCCAATATTCTCTACAAACGAGAAAGTAAATTCGTAATGAACAAACGAATTCCTGATTTCATTATTACGTCAACTATTTTTTTGAAATATCAAAATTAAAAACGCATAAAATACATATATATATATATATGTATCAGTGATTCCTATTTAAATTCAATAAACATTTTCAATTTTTAACTTTAATTCTATTAAAGTATTTTGAATATTTGCGAGAGTTATTTAAAATTCCCATGAAGCAATAAATTCATTCGTTGATCAGTTTTAATGCTACTCATCAAAAACTCCCACTAATCTTTTATGGATAAATAAATTTGAAAGGAAAGGTTTACTCAAACAATTCTTTTGATTATCAAAATTAATTTAATTTTTTTGAATTTTCACTACAAACCTTATCAATGATAGCTCTGTTAATACCATTATCGACAACATGCTGTGCAGAAAGTATCAATTCTAACTCTTTTTTATCAATGCGTATTTTATAATCCTCAATGAATCGTTTAATACTTTCGTCAATCTGTCTTGCGGCAATCGTTGCCAAATTGGAAGGCCTCGAATTAATTACATTTTACAAATGATTTCTATCATTTCATTTCATCAAATAAATCATATTATTTGTTCTTTAATTTTTTTCTCTCTTTAATGTATTTTTCAAATTTTTCCAATTTCAAGCGAAAAATAATTAATTTGGTATCCATCATTCTTTGAATTAAAAACTCAACAAATTTGTTTGATCGTTTTTTTCCTTATTTTGTACGTTTGATTAAGGAAAAAACTTTACAGTATCAATTCAAAGAGTAATAGTAAAGATATTTAATAAACTTTAACACATAAACAACTTTCAAATTAATTGATTCCTTCCATTTCAATGATATGATTCAAATGTTTTAGACAAAAAAACAATATCAAAAAT